CCCGGATGCCTTCTTCATTGTGGCTGAGCTCCCTGCTGGGAATTGGGCTACAGGGGAGGTGGCTCTATGTTCCCCTGCCGGGGTGCTGGGGCCAGGCTGGGGAACCAGAGCTTGCCTCTGTGCTGAGCGTGCCCTGGGGAGGGGAAGAAGCGGGCAGGAAGAGATGCTGCTGGCAAGGTCATCAGCCCCCATCGTGGCTCCTGGCCCCTCTCTCCCCACAGTCCGGCCTGACTCCCCTGCATGTGGCTGCCTTCATGGGTCACCTAAAAAAGACCCTGCTGCAGCGTGGAGCCTCTCCTAATGTGTCCAATGTGGTGAGTCCCCCCCTGGCTGGGGGACGCTGGGGTCAAGTCCTGCCCAAGTCCTGCTCGCTCTGCTCTCCTGCGCACTCCTGGGTGCCCCCGGCGTTGTGCCGGCAGGAGGAGCTGCAAGGGGCCAGAAGAGGTTGTGGGTACTGCTCTTCTGGGCTCAGGCCAGAGAAACGACTGCAGGAGGGCATCGTGTCCCCTCCTGTGGCCTCACCGCTTCATCCTGTCCTTGGTGCAGAAAGTGGAGACGCCCCTACACATGGCAGCCAGAGCTGGGCACACGGATGTGGCAAAGTACCTGCTGCAGAACAAAGCCAAAGCCAACGCCAAGGCCAAGGTGGGTACAGAGAACATGGGTGACAGTCCAGCTCTGGGCTGGGGCCCCTTCGGCATGGCGTGCCAGGGCCTGGTCCAGGTCTGCCAAAACAGCTTCTCTGCCTCCCTCGCAGGACGACCAGACCCCTCTGCACTGCGCTGCACGCATCGGCCACACCGGCATGGTCAGCCTGCTGCTGGAGAGCAACGCCAACCCCAACCTGGCCACAACCGCAGGACACACACCCCTGCACATCACCGCCAGAGAGGGGCACGTGGACACGGCCCTGGCCCTGCTGGAGAAGGGAGCCTCGCAAGCCTGCATGACCAAGGTGGGCTGCTGCGCCCGCTGCATCACACGGGCTGACCCGGCGGCGCCGGCGCTGGGCACGCTGGTGGCTCAGTGTCCCTGTCACGGGGGGGCAGCTTCCTTCTGTGCCGCAGTGTCCCTTCCTGCGCGTGCAGCAGTGCTCTCCTCCTTGGCCCTGTGCACCCTGTGACAGACTGCCTTTCTCTTCAGAAAGGATTTACCCCTCTCCACGTTGCAGCCAAGTACGGGAAGGTGGATGTGGCAGAGCTGCTGCTGGCGCGCGATGCTCACCCCAACGCGGCAGGGAAGGTGGGTGTTGCTCCTGTGGCCGTGGGAGGGCTGGTGTGGTACGGGGAGAGGGTCTGTCTCACCTGTCTGCCCTCTCCCCCTCCCCAGAACGGCCTCACCCCGCTGCACGTGGCTGTGCACCACAACAACCTAGAGATCGTCAAGCTGCTGCTTCCCAAGGGGAGCTCCCCGCACTGCGGCCTGGGTAAGGCTGGGGGAGGTGTCCCTGGGATGTGGGGGTGTGCCCAGTGCACGCCAGCCTGGGGCCAGCACTGCCCCTCAACCCTGGCACTCGGGGAGCATACAAGGGACGATCACCACCAGCGAGCCTCCACGCGTGCTGCTTGCGCCTCCCTGTCCCTTGCACTGGCTCCTTGGGCGGGCAGGGTGCCGGGCGGCTGTCCTGGTCCAGCAGGCGGGCTGTGTCGGGGATCGTCCCGGCTGCCAGCCAGTGTTGTGGCTGCTGCCTGGGTCTATGTTTCCATGGCAAGCCCTGCCGAGCATCGCTGCAGTCTGGCAGTTTGGGAAACCACACACGAATGTTTGCACGCAGCTGGGAGGCAGTGAGCCGGAAAACCCATGAGCTCGTGAGAGTTGCCCCACTCTGCCTGAGCATGGGGAACGTCTCCCCGAAGAGCAGACCAGCAGCCTCTGTTTGCACCTTGTTTGCAGAAGATGCATCCTCAGAACAGACAAGGGGCTGCTGGTGCCGCCTCCCCCATCTGGCACTCCCCGCTCCCGTGCGCAGGCTGCCGGCAGCCTTGCTGGGCAGGCATCAGGAGCAGCCGGCACCGACGCCAGTCCCCCGTTGGTCTGCGTCACTGACAGCCTGCGCGTCACCCCAGGCAGAGGGTGTCTGCCAGCTGCTTTGCTCCTGCAGCGTGGCAGCAAAGGCAGTGCTCAAGGCTCTGCAGTCTCTGCCTGAATACTAATCCTGCGGATCGGGGGTTTTGCTCCACACCTCAGCCAGACACGTTCTCAGAGGTGTCTGTCTGCCCTGGACTCGCAGCTCCAGGTGGCTGAATCCTGCTGTAGAAATTCACGTGAGGAAAACTCCAGCACAGCTGATACCATTCATCCCTGAAGCAGGTGGTCCTTGAGACCCCTGTGCTGACTTGTCTGGAAGAGTGGGATTTGGCCACAGAGCCAGGGCTAGTTGCTGTCAGGGGGATGGTTCAGGTGTGGGGCTGCATCCCAGAGCTCTGGACCGGGGAGGGCAGACCTGGCCTGGAGAGGCAGTGGGACACCTTCCGTCCCTGCTGGTCTGCTCGGCCGGGGCTGAGCACTGCCATGAGCCCCTCTCCCTGCAGAACGGGTACACCCCCCTGCACATCGCTGCCAGGCAGAACCAGATGGAGGTGGCCAGCAGCTTGCTGCAGTACGGAGCTTCTGCAAATGCGGAGTCTGTGCAGGGAGTCACCCCCCTGCACCTGGCTTCCCAGGAGGGGCACACGGACATGGTGGCACTGCTTTTCTCCAAACAAGCCAACGGCGACCTGGGCAACAAGGTAAGTTGTTCTTGTGTGTCCTGCCAGGCTGGAGGGGAACACCCCCGGCGGGGAGTAGCAGGCAGGGTGGCAGTCCCGGCCCCAGCGCCTGCCTGTGTTGGGCAGCAGGGCGCAGACCAGCACGGTGTCAGTCAGTTTGCCGGTTGGAGACCTGACAGAGTCTCTGCTGGTGGAGCTGCAGTGGTGGCATTGCCGCCATGCTGAGACCTCCTCTGTTTGCAGAGCGGCCTGACTCCTCTCCATCTCGTGGCCCAGGAGGGGCATGTGCTGGTTGCTGATGTTCTGGTGAAACACGGAGTCACAGTGGATGCAACGACCAGGGTAAAGTAGTGCATTGACCATGTCTGTGGTGAAAAACATGGGGGAACAACCTCTAGGCTGCTCCAGGAGGAGCATTGATTTTCTTTTTGTGCAAGAGTCTCCCCTTTAAGGCATTCTTACAATCTTGTCTGTGTCTTGTGGAATCTTCCTCCTCTCCCCCCCACCTCCCTGGAAGGATGATTCTCGCCTGCTCCCACAGCTGCCCCCGTACCCCTGGGCACAGTGGGGTGTTGTCGGCAGCGTGCGCTCTTCCCTGATCCTGGGCTCTCATACAGCACCTGCACGCATGCCCCATCCTTCATCCGTGGAGCTTGCCTGTGAGATGAACATACCCAGAAGGGCAGAAAGCACTGCTGAGGGCAGGCTAAGACTTGATCTCATCTTTCAGATGGGCTACACCCCGCTGCACGTGGCCAGCCACTATGGGAACATCAAGCTGGTGAAGTTTCTGCTGCAGCATCAGGCTGATGTCAATGCCAAGACTAAGGTACAGAGATGTCCTGTGCTCCAAGGACCCTTCTGCCCCAGGCAACAGCATGCAGGTTGATTGGGGAAGGCTTAGCCTCCCTCCCTGCTTCCTCTTCTCCCCCTCACATTGCTCCGAGCCCTCCTGTCTCCATGGCTGGAAGCTGCTGTAGTCTAGTTACAGCCCTGGGCAAGTGCTGGGTTCTGCAGAGCCCTTTGCTCACCCAGAAAGGAGGGAGCTGCACTCGTGCTCCAGGCATGATGCACGGCATGAGGCCCGGGGGCATTTCTGGGGCAGCAGACTCCCAGAACTGATGGCATCACACTCTGTACCCCCTGCAGCTGTGCTACACCCCCCTGCACCAGGCAGCACAGCAGGGCCACACGGACATAGTGACGCTGCTGCTGAAGCACGGTGCCTCTCCCAACGAGATCAGCACGGTGAGTATGGTGCTCGCCCACCCCTCTGTGCTCCACGGCAAGCTCGGGTGCCAGCTCGGGTGCCTGCCCGGGCTGCCCCGTGGTGCTGCTGCCAACCCAGTCCTTCCTCCCTGCACAGAACGGCACCACTCCCCTGGCCATCGCAAAGCGGCTTGGCTACATTTCTGTCACTGATGTGCTCAAGATTGTCACAGAGGAAACAGACATCCCGGTGAGCCTCTGGGGACTGGGACCAGGACCCTGGAGGAGGTCTGGGGCTGGGAGCAGCCAGGCAAAGGTCTGCTGGGCGCGGCT